CTCTGCCTGGAAAAGCCTTTCCCTAGGTCCGAGGCAGCGATCCCTTAGGGTCCTGGTAGGAAAAGGCGAGGTGTCAAAGCCCAGAGCAGCTGTGGAAGCGGCGGGTGGGTTACAGATCCATCGCTTCTTCCTCCACGGCTTTGTCCGGAGACTGCACGTACTTCTCCTGCACCGCCAGCGTGCTGGTAACGCCGTCGTTAAGGGAAACAAGGGGCTGGGCTCAAACACTCCCTTCTGCAAGGAGCTCCGGGCGAGGAACCAGCCCCACGTTAGCCCCAAGGCTGGCAGAAGAGGGCAGCGCCGGCAGCAGCACACACCCCTGGGTCGATTTCCCGCTCTGGCTGATCCCCGCCCCGGGGCCGATTCCCGGCTCTGTCTGATCCCAGACCCGACAAGAACAGGAGAATCCTTTGGACAAGGCGGAATGAACCGGGTCAAGGGACTGCGAGTGAGAGGGAAGTTGCCAGAAGGCTCCTCCCAGTATCAATCGGTGACCAACGGGGTGGCTTTGGGGGGGACAACAGTCAGACCCACAGACTGCCAGCCCCACCTCCAGCCTCTCCCCCCCAGGGAAAGGGCCGTTAAAACTCAGCGCAAGTGGATTGGTGAAGGATACGAAGCGAAGTGGAAATCGGCTCCCACCGCTGCCGACATCAAAGCTTCCAGGCTCCTGTGCTCCTGGTCTCCGAAGGAATAGCCGTTGGCTTTGTCCACCGCCTGCATCACGCGCCGCATGCTCTCCTTGTCCTGAAAGGGAGAGGGATGACACGTAGGGCACACGGCCCTTCCCCCGGGGCGTGGAGCTGGGCTTTACCACGGCTTTTCTCCGAAGCTCTGGGCCACCCACACAGCACCCAACGCCCCCAGGGGCTGCCAGCCCCTTCCCCACACCCAGAGGGGCCAGAGCACAACCGGGAGCCCCAAAACAGGATGGGCTGACGCCCTCTGCCCTTCCATCCCCGTTTGCCTTTGCTGATGCTTCTGCAAGCTGCCAGATGAACGTTTCCAGCCCTTCCTCCCAAACCGATTCCTCCAACGAGGTTTTAGGTACTACTCTGCCCACGTTTGAAATGCAGGCACGGAGGGGGAGCCTTAATTCCCCACCCCAGCACACAAGGCCCACATAACCCCAAGCCTTTTCCTTCGGCTGCCACAGATTGTTTACGACTCGGGGCGCATCTCCATCCCCACGGCTCTTGGCAGTTGAGCTTCTGAGCCTTCCAGCCCTCAGGGCTCCGAGCAGACGGAGCTGCTACCCGAGGGGCTGCGGACACGGCACGTTCTCTCTGCCCCGCTCCTGCCGCATCACCTGGACGTTGAGCGGAACGAAGGACACCAGGCTGTAATCCTCGATCACCTCCACCAGCTTCTCGTTGAGGCGGCGGTAGTTGCGGAAGAAGGGGTCGGAAGCTAAATGGTCAACCAAGTAAGAGAGGTCCAGGACCTCCGTGTAATAATCCAGGTTGAAAGCTGCAGGGAAACACCAAGAAGCTCTGAAGGCAAACTGTAAATATTGGGGCTTCCCTGGCCAGAATGTGCCATGGAGAAGGCGGTGAGATTTACATGTTCCCCCGCCACCTCCCGGCCATACATCCCCGTACCCGAGCAGTTAATCATGGAATGGTTTGGGTTGGGAGGGACCTTAAAGATCATCTAGTTCCAACCCCCCTGCCATGGGCAGGGACACCTTCCCCCAGCC